GATTATTGTCCAATCTCTTCCCGCACCCCCCACACCCTTTCCCCCCCACCCCCAGAATAGTCAGTCCATTCCCTTTCTATGTCCCTGATTCTATTATAATCACCAGTTTATTCTGTTCATCAGATTATTTATTCACTTGATTTTTAGATTCACTTGTTGATAGATGTGTATTTGTTGTTCATAATTTGTATCTTTACCTTTTTCTTCTTCTTCCTCTTCTTAAAGGATACCTTTCAGCATTTCATATAATACTGGTTTGGTGGTGATGAACTCCTTTAGCTTTTTCTTATCTGTGAAGCTCTTTATCTGACCTTCAATTCTGAATGATAGCTTTGCTGGATAAAGTAATCTTGGTTGTAGGTTCTTGGAATTCATCACTTTGAATATTTCTTGCCACTCTCTTCTGGCCTGCAAAGTTTCTGTTGAGAAATTAGCTGACAGTCGTATGGGTATTTCCTTGTAGGTAACTGACTTTTTTTCTCTTGCTGCTTTTAAGATTCTCTCTTTGTCTTTTGCTCTTGGCATTTTATTTATGATGTGTCTTGGTGTGGTCCTCTTTTCCACCAACATTTAACATTATATTTAATTATGAAAGACTGAGAGCTTCCCCCCAATATAAAGAACCAGACAAGGATGTCCCTTCCTACCATTTCTATTCAAGATTTACAGGAGGTTCTAGCCAGGGCAACTCACACACACACACATAAATAAAAGCCATCCAGATTGAAGAGGAACAAATAATACTACCTCTGTTTGCAGATGGCATGATCCTGAAAATAGAAAATTCTGAGTAACCCAGAAAAAATACTGTAGCTAATAAATGAGTTCAGTAAGTGCAGATATAAGATCAACATATAAATCAATATAAAAGGTCAACATTTTTATATGTTAGCAATTAATAATTTAAAAATAAAATTAAGAATATTTCATTTGCAATTGTATCAAAAGAATGAAATAGGAAGTTTTACAAAAGGAGTATAATATATACACTGAAACATTGAAAGTGGCCCTGAAGAAGCCCAGATGTTGGACTCACTGAATAAAGACACTAATCCTTCACAAACTCTTCTTTAGTCACAGAAGGACTGAAAAATTGGGAGCACAGCCTGTGTTCATTGGTTTGAAGACTTAATATTGTTAAGATGGTAATATTTCCCAAACTGCTTGAGAGATTCAACGTTCCAGCTGCCTTTTTTTTTTGTTGCAGAAGTTGACAAGCAGGTCCAAAAATCTAGGTGGAAATGTAAAGACCCAGAATAGCCAAAACAATCTTGAAAAAGAACGAAGTTAGAGGATTCACATCTCCTGGTTTCAATACTTACTACAAAATGACACTAATCAGGAAAAAACGTGGTAGAGGCGTAAGGATAGATCAATAGAATAGAACTGGATGAAAGCCAGAGGGTCCACAGGAGGCCCCGGAGCCTCTCAGACAGCTCTGTCTCCCTCTCCCTCTTACCCCCCCCCCCCCCTCCCATTTCTACCCTGTCTCCATCTTCACCTCCACCCTCTGGCTCAGTGCTCACCTGGTCAGGTCTCTGTCATGCCCCTTTCCCTCAGCAGAGTGGCAGGGATGAGCACAGACCTGGACATGCCCCCACCCACCCCCACCCGGTGACACACGCTCAGTCTGAGGGACCAGTTCCAGATTCCCAGGAGAGAGAATGTCACCCGCCCAGCTTGGGTGCCCAGGCCTATCGGTCCAATCAACCGAGACCAGGGATGGGGTCATCAAGTCCAGTCCCGGCCGCTTAGAGTTCTACCGGAGGCCGGCTCTCTGCTTTGCTACTTTGGAAGCAAAGCTGGGATGACACAGGCCTCCTGGTTCTCATGGGCCGCACTTCCTCAACACCCGGCATCCTTCTCCCAGGGAGGCCGCGTGCGTGTACTGCACAGCCCTAGGAGGCACAATTTACATAGGTTTGCATGTTTATTATGCTGATTTATGATAAGTGGAAGTAAGAGTCTTGGGGAAAGAGTCTTTTCTAATTTGAAGAGAAGGTGCCAGATACGCTAGGGGTAGCCCTGCCTTCTCCCTTCTCCTCTGTCCTCTCTAGAGCATGGAGGGAGGGAGGGGGGCAGGGAGGTGCCCAGAACTTGTCTCCAACGTATAACCTGTCCGTCTCCCCACAGGTGGGTGCGTCCTTGTTTGCCAGCAACATAGGAAGTGGACATTTCGTGGGCCTGGCGGGGTCGGGCGCTGCGGTGGGCATTTCGGTAGCTGCTTATGAGTTTAGTGTGAGTACTCACCACGCAGTGGGCAGCCCTCTCCGCCGGACAGGGAGATCTGGGGGCCGTTGTGTGCGTGCCTCACCTTTAAAACCAGAGCGGTGCTTTCCGAAACACGAACAGGGAGCATCCGGCACCCAGGCCAGCAAAGTCAGTCTGACTACCAGTCTCGGCCTCCTGCCCGGGGTCTGTCTGCCTGATGGGGGAGACTGTGCGGGGAAAGCGCTGGAGTCCGCCCTGGCGGCCTGATGCCGCGGGCATCACAAAGCCCGTGCGCCCAGTGGCCCTGGGCCGGCTGCCCGCCACGAACACCAGGCAGGACGCTCTCTGAGTAGCGGGCTCGGCCTGATTTGCTCTCTGAGTAGCGGGCTCCGCCTGATTTGCGGAGGGGGTGCGCTCATTAAAGTGACTTCATCTTTATAATGAGTAGCTTTTTAGTGCTTTCTCTGTGCACTGACTCATTACATCGTGGGATTCAAGTACAGACTAGAGCCAGGCTGCCTGGGTTGGCATCCTGGCTGCATCGCTTGCCAGCTGTGTGACCTCGGGCAAGTGGCTTAACCTCTGGGAGCCTCGGAGCCTCGTGTCTAAAACGGGGATAGTAACAGCCCCTGCCACGTGGCGACGTTGTGAGGATGAGGGGTTAATGCTTGTAAAAGGTGCAAGGGGGGCTCTTCTAGCGTCGCCCCCCCCCCCTTCAGCGCCTGCCTGACCTCCAGCACCTCCTGACCCCTCCATGGGGGGGAGGGAGTGCCCTCGGATGAAGGGGGATGACGTGAGGTTTAGGGGACACTGTGCTAGCATCCACAAAGACGTGGCTGTCTCCATTTGTCCCTACGTCATCCCCTCTCCCATCCAAACATGGAAATACGACGTCCCGGGAGGGTGAGCCACTCAGCCAGTGAGAGACGGACGGACAGACGCGGAGCCGAGCAGACCAGGTTACGGGAGGGGGCGCAGGACTCCCGGGCGCCTGGCGGCCAGCCGACTCCGTGTCCTCCGCAGGGCATATTCTCCGTGCTGACGCTCGCCTGGATCTTCCTCCCCATCTACATTGCAGGCCAGGTGAGTCCGAGGGCGCCGCGGGCACAGAATGGGAGGCCTTTGGGAAGGGCCAAGCCTGCACTCCCTCCCTCCCCCAG